CCTTGTCCAGAATTACTAGAGAGCCTTTTTACGGCTACATCTTGTTCAGTTGGAAGCCGACCCTGTATATAATCCAATGGATACACAATATTTCAGTATCTCTAAGTGTACAGTTTGTGTTCTTCCTGTTTCATAAGCTTCGTTACCTTGTAAACTATTCCGAATCCTCCTTGCCCAAGCTTATTTTCTTCACTGAAGTTATTAGTTGCTGCCTGGATGGTGGCAAAGTCATATAGCAAAGACTCCGCCTCAATCATTTCATCTACAGCTACCAAAAGCAACACATACATAGGGGTAAGATTAATCACATGCCTCGCCAGCAGAAGGAATGCATTTCAAACATATTTTAGTTATTTACCCAAAAAAGAAAACATTTCTTACTTTCAACAGTTTCCTTTGCCTTTCTTTGTCTTAAAAATATCCAAAGCACAAGCAACAGAACGCCAACAAGAAGTGGAGCAACTACTACGGAAATGATGATTGTTCTAGTTGTGTAACTTGTGTTGTTTCCTTTTCCTGTACAAAATTGAAAGAACGAAATTTTTTTCAAGCACTGAAAATTAAATGAAAATATTTTTTTAAAGATGAGCCATCACTTTTCTTTATTAATTTGTATGAAAAATCAATAAATAATTTTATTTTCAAGACTAATGCAAGTGAATATTTTTAATTGCACCATTGATAAAATTTAAATAATTTTTATTATTGTATAAAAATTAATAAAAAATGTGCAATTAATAAACTATGGTTAAGGTACAAGTTAAAAACACTCTAAATGTAATAACTTCTCCACTAGTAGACTTTTTTTTATTTTATCTTTAAATTAAGGATTTGAGAATAATTTTTTTTTTTTACCTATATTCTCCTAAAAATATATAGATAAAAATAAGTACATCAAATAATCTTAATAAAGAGTAAAAATTAAAATTAAAAAACTCAAATTAAAAATTAAATTTACCAAGTTTAAAACAGGAGAGTATTATTCTAGACAAATCCTTTATTAAAAAATGTTTATTGTTTTAATAGGAGGGGATAAGATGGATATAGGGGTATTTTGCAAACCGTTAGCTACCTTCTGTTGCTGTTGGAGTTGGAGAAGGAGGTGAGCTACCTTCTGTTGGAGTTGGAGAAGGAGGTGAAAACGGTACAATAGTGATCTTAGCTGAATTGTCCAAAAAAAAATCAATCTCGTATCTTAAGAAACAGCTGGGTTGAAGAATTCTGCATCCGGTGTTTCCATAGCAGAAAGTCCTCATCCTGTCGCTGGCCGTCGCCAGACAAGCGCTGCAATTTTCATGGGACAGATCCGGGGTACACTGCATCATAGCGTAAATGC